CAAGCGGGAACCGGGCATTTCCCCTCCCAGGTTCACCTTCCCCAGCTGCTGCCCTAATGCGCTTCTCTCCCCCGGCCGCTTCCCCAGTGCCTGTCGTGTCAGGCAAAGCTGCTGATCCCAAGCGCCACTTCTCCCCTCAAATACGCGGTGAAACGCCAGCCGGCTTAAGAAAGGGGAAGGGGCTCGGGCTCCTCTTGGAGAGGTTTTGTTCAGCAGCCCTGCAACCAGGCCTGGCGGAGAGGCTGGCCAGGGCGGCGGGTGTCCCAGCACGGGGCGCTTGGCAAGGCAGCCCCGCGGCTGTCGTGTGGGACAGAAACCCACCAGCGACAACAAATTCAGCGCTAGGAAATTGTCGTAGGGATGGAGTGGCTGAAGTGGGTTTTCCCATGTTATGTGGTGGAAACGACTTCGTTGACCTTGGTTTTTCCCTGCAGCTCCTATGCCAGTCTCAGACACGGAGGTTTGGGTGTGGGGTGCTAAACCTGCGTTTCTGCTTGGATTTAGAGGAGGGGGCTGGGAAGAGAGGGAAACCGTGCCTGGTTTCGGCAGAGATTCCAAAGCTTCTGCGTCTCCTTGGCTGTGTGCTGTTATCCCAAGCGCACTGTGAGCGCTCCCGTTTTATTGCTTTCAGAGGTTATATGGAACCAGAGGAGTTCCACGCTCCTGGTGTTTCGCTTTTGTACTTTATCAATGTCACAGTAACCGTGTACATAACTGAATTGTCTGATGTCAAAGTTTCCAACAGTGTATTTTCTAAATGTGTTCTCTACAAGTTGGCAACTGAAGGTGGGACAACAGCTTGGCTGTAACGTGCAAAAGCAGCGTTTCTCTTCTTTAGTGATTGGTAAAGTGTGTGTGTTTTGGCTCCCTCAGTGCTACTTCAGGACAGGGCGTGAAAATACCTGTTGCCATGGAGAGAAATCAGTTGCACATCAAATCTGGAAACATGAAATGAGGAGCGGGGGTAGAGAGGTGACTTTTCAATTGGTGGTAGCCTTTGCAAAACTCCGCTCACCAGAGCTATGTTGGGGAATGGCTGTAGCAGCGCAGTGATTGCTGATGTGGCTGATGATACCCGAGCTGAGTGCTGGGTTTCTTTGTCTGGGTTTTGTGTAGTTGCACGTTGCAGGATTTAAACTTTGGTAATTGAAATAAAAGTTGCTTAGATTTTCTGAGCAATGACTTGTCACATACTGATCTAAGTAGGTGTATACTTAGAGCCAACTAATATTTTCTGATGCTATTCTGAGCTATCTTTTTTGCTATTACAGGGTATAAGGTTTTTTTTTTTTCTGTTTTATTTTTAATCAAGGGGGTTGATATAAGGTGTCAATGGCAACAGATGGCTAATACAAACTATTTCCGGTCGTCTTAACAGTTCTTAGCTTACTTGGCTCTTGCAAAACACCAACTAGTTGAAAGCTGTGGAAGAAGAAAGATTGAAAACTGCTAAACCATACGGGCAAAAAGACGCTGAAAGTTTTAAATTAGTATGGGCCTGGGTTTAATACCTTGTGTAGGATTGTTTTAAAAGCCCCTGGAAAGTCGGTTCTGCAGTTACTGTGGGACAATTCTCTAAAATAGAGTAGTGGAGAGAGAAGTTAGATGATCTACCAAATGCTGCTGTAGTAGGAGGATGGTATCCAAATTTGACTACACTGTGTGGGGAAAAGAATGAGAAGGTCAAACATTATAGTAGGATTTGTGTTCTCTGATAAAATGAAATTGGCTTTTGATACAGTCGAGGCTTTGAAAGATTTTTTGTGGTTCTTAAGCGGAGATACTCTGCTTTGGCGTTTTTCGTTTTGTTTTGCCAAATTATCTTGTGTTGATGAATGGACAGGAACCAAATGTTTGCTCTCTACTTACTTTAAATGTCAGCTGTTTTTGATGGTGTTGCTGATGTGGCTGTGGTCAGCTGGCAGTGAAACCTGACTCCCTCTCCCAAGGTTGAAAACCCAGCCACCTGGGTTTTCATGCCCGCTGCTGGGCATTTTGGTTATCTGTTCCTGGTGTTCTCCCGTGTGTTTGCTGGCCACCAGAAAAGGACACTGTAAGAGCCCGTGAAACAACATATTTTATCCTTCATTGGACTGGTTCTGCACAGGTTGTGTACAGGGAGAGGAGGCAGAATGAATGAAAGAGTTGCCTGTGCTACCCTTCAAGTGGTGCTGTAAAGGAAGACATAAGCATTTTTATTTTAGCATCTTCTTCTAATAAATATGCTTGATCATAACCAATACTTTTATATTTGTGTTTCTCTGGTGGCTATTGCTGCTGTTCTGAAGTTTAGAGAAATACAGTTTCAATTTCAGAAAGACTGAGGGGTCATCCATAGGGACTGTGGTGTTATAGGATGTAATAGGAGACATCTCTCTCCAGCGCGGGGGATGCTTACTGACTCAAGGGGAAGAGTTTTGTCACTGAGATTTCTGCAGCGGGACGGATCCACAATTAGTTCTTGATATACCGTTTGTTTTCCTGCTTAGCAGTGGTGTTGGTTACTCGGCGGCTGTGCTCTCTTTTTACCTATGTGCGCACCATATTGCATTTTGATCTTTATATGGCTGATAATGTTTTTTTTGGTTTGTTCCTGTCTGGCTGTGTTTTATGTACCCTGTGTCCAAGCCTGATGAAAGCCAGCACAAATCACTAAGGTCCCAGATGCAACTTAAGGTAGCAGGGATTATTTTTTTGTGTTGGTGATTGTGTTTTTATAATGTCATTCATGGTATTGTCTTCATGCAGCTGTGAGAGTTGGAAGCAAAGGTGTTTTAGTTAATACCTTTTAATCGTTGAGAGGCTGGAGGCAAGGTTCTTTAGCTTTCAAAGCCCAGGTGTTCTCTCAGCTTCTTCCTCTTGGGCAGAATTAAGTAATGTGACATAGGGTTATTTGGGGATCTTTGCAGTTGGAAGAGGTTGAGGTTTTTTGTTGGGGTTTGCTTTTTTTTTGCTTTTTACTTTCTTTCTATTTGCAGCATTGTTCCAAGCAGATAACATTTGTTCATGCACTCAGAGTGTGGAATGCAGACACTGTAGAAAGCTAAAAAAAACCCCAATCATTGCAGAAGTATTGCACGCTGTTATTTTGGTACTGTAGCCAAGCAGACCACTGAATGGCTTGAGACAGCGTCTCATTCTTTATTTGTATGTTCCCAGCAGAAAGAGCTCACGTCAAAGAAAAGAGATGAGTTTGAAGATATCTTGGAGGAAAGACGATTGTCCAGCGACTTGAGATATGCGATGAAATGTTATACTCCTGTAATCTACAAGGGACTTTCACCTTGCAAGCCAAACGCTATTAAAAGTGCTGTTCTCCACTCAGAGCAAGTTCAATACGTTATCAAGCAGGTGAGGCTGGACACTGAGCTGTAAGATGAGGTAGACTGAACACAGCCAAACTTTGTTTGGCAGCAGGGAAAAAAAGATTATTGCTGACGTTGTCAAGTACGATAGCTGTAGTTTGAAAGGTGGTCCAATCAGTAACTTGAGAGCCATACTTTTTTGGCAGGAAAAACAAATACTGATTTACCACAGAGTTGCCACTAAAGCTGTCAGATAGCTCATTCACAAAATAGTGTTTTGATTTTGCATATGTGACACTTCACCATCTAACTTATCCAATGTGCTTTTTTTTTTTCCCCCTCCCTCCTCCACTGTCCTTGCCACAGAGCAGCATTGTGAAAGACAAAAGCACTCTTCTTCTAAGTAGACTTTTTTGTACTTTGTGGATGTCTTGTAGGAATTTTATAGACTAGTGATGTATTTATGAATCAGCCATAAATGCTACATTCTCCAAAATGAGAGTTATATTTCACAGAGAATTCTTTGAATTAGAAACACTAAGATGTAACCATATTTTTGTTTTAAGATGAAGGGCAGCTACTGCTTTGTAACGAATGAAATATTTTATATTCAAACGGGCTCATATTTTACATTGTGTTGTAATGGCTGAAATAAGAGTGTGTAAGTAGTATGAAATAAGCAAAATTGAATCTTTCAACTACAGAAACACTAAAACATTTACTGAAAGAAAATATTTTACAGAGGATTTGACAGAAAGATATTTGTGTAATGTTTTGTTCTGAAGTGCTGCTTTTTTGGTGGAAAATTATTTTGATGGATATTTTCCCAGCTAGCGTCAAGTGGTTGAAGGGCGTTAGCAGTCCTGCCATTGCAACCTAGTTATCAGCTTTGCACTAGAGATTACTGAAAGTATCTAACTGGGACTATCTTGGGCAATATGCCCAACGGTCTGCGATTAGTGTGCCTCCTGCCTGGGCAGAGTTTACACAGCTTTACGCAGACATACTAGAATTTGTTCTTGTGACAAATTGCTGAGGTTACTAATGTTCAGTATGTGAAATTAAGTGCATTTGTTTGTTTTAGCTTGCTATGTGTGGCTGGTCTGGTTTTTTGATTCCTGATTTTGGGGAATAAGTGCTTAGCTCTGGAGTGGATGTGCACTTAATTCACACAGGATCAACTGTGTAAGCCTTTTGCTGGTGAATGAGAACAATATCTGTTCCCCTAGTGAATAATAAGAAAAATTTTTTGGCTTCCTAAGAGAGATTGATTTTCTGAGGCTTAAGTGGAAGCAGTTTTTGGCTTCTTTAAGTGGTTATAATAATCAGTTATAGCTACATGTGGAACTATGCAGGATGAAGGATGATGTGTTTATTAAAACACAGTTGAACCAGTAGATATGATAGTAAGGTGGTATATGGAGGTAGATTGGAGGAGATGCATTTTCTCATATGTCACAAAATAGAAATAATAGGTAAGCAGTGCTGGCCTCTAAACAGAGCCGTGCTTTTTTGGAGGCTTTTTCTTTTCCTCCTCTTTCCTCTTCCTGCGTGTTCAGTAAAAGGCATGTTCCTCATTCCATAACAGTAAAAGACTAACTTTTCAATTAAATATTTCTAGATTCAAAGTATCAAATAGGAGGGACGACCATTATTTAAGTCTGTTTTAAGAAAGTTCGGAAGGGAATGCGCGTAGCAACAGAAAAAAGATCATTGATATGCAAAGTTGGTAGAGACAGTGCTTTGTATGCATTTCAGCTAGCCATTGCAAAAGTAATACATTACGAAGAAATTCAAGCGTGATACGGCGGAGGTTCTTCAGCTAAGTCTTAAAATCTAACCCAAATGCACTTCAAAGATTTACATTGTGAATATCTCTGCAAACATAGGTTTCATTTTACTAGTCAAAGAAAATTGTACACAGCTTTCTTCAGACCAATAATAGAGGAAATGTTCTTCTCTGAAGATGCTACAGGTTAAAACATTCAGACGGTGTGTTTGGGGGCGAAAAATTGTTGCACACCCTCCCCCCCCGCCATTGACATTTAAGCTCATTCTTGACTTTGAAGAGCTTTAACTTGGCTTTCTCTTGTTGGCTGACACCAAACAGATTCTGTATGATTAGATGCATGCCTATCACTTAAAATAAAATCTTGCTGACTATTGCAGTAGTTCTGCCGTAATTGTTGTGGCACATAGAATGGTGTGCATGGGCAAGGAGACGGGAACAACATCTGACTGCTATTTTGTTTGTTTTGTTTCTCTTTAGTTAGCAAAAGAGATGGGAGAATCACCTGATATTATTCAAGAAGAAGCCATGGAAATCCTGGATGAGATGGGCCACAGCATGCAATTAGGAGCTGTCAGATTTTTTGCCTTTACTCTGAGCAAAATATTTAAACGGCTTTTCCAGAGAGTTTGTGTGAATGAAGAAGGAATGCAGAGAGTAAGTACTGGTGGGGAAAAAAAAAGTTATAATATTTTCATACCAGTCACTTGGACAAAGACTCTAATCTTCACTCCAAGTAACAAATATGAAAAATACCCTTTGAAAAAAAAGACTGCACTTGTGTTTATTACTGCATTTCTTAATAAGTTGGAGGGGGGGCAGGGAAGACAGATGATATATAAGTATTTTAGAGGCAAACTGTCAGCAGGACTTTTTGTACATTTTCCAAATGCTTCCTGCGGTAGGGAATACTTGCAGTCATGTGTCAGTGATTCTGTTAGGTCAGCCACTGAGAGAGTTTTCCTATCTGATATTATGAATTTAATGATGCATTTAGTTGAATTGGGGGTGAAAACCTAGTGTTATGTGGCTGAGTGGGTTGGCTGTTCTGCAAAACAGCTGAGATGGTGAAACATTGTGCACCTCAGGGGCAGGAGATGCTTTAAGTTCGTCCCAGTTCCCTGGGGAGCTGTTGTCCCGCTGTTTCATTGCAGAATGCCACAGTTCTGGAGGGTGCAGTGCATTCCCTGGAAGACAGCAATGTCAGCCCTTACATCCCGTATTGGGTTTCCCATCCCCATCAAAAAGAGTTTGAATTAGACTATCACGTAATGAGGTGGCCCTGGCTTTTGAGTCCTGTCATGCTTGTGAACCACAGGTTCCTTGTCTGGAAACTACTGCTCCAAATTTCCTACGGTTCCATGCTGAAAAAGGTGTAGAGTGTGTGGACAGAAAAACCACCCTCAAACCGATCAGCTTCTGTTTGTCTTAAGCCGTGTGAAGGTCTGTATTTGCAAATTTCAACAGTCAGTCTGTAAATATTGGAACAATATTGTTTGTGCTGTTTTTTTTTTTCAGTTGCAACACGCCATTCAGGAGCATCCAGTTGTACTGCTGCCCAGTCATCGAAGCTATGTAGACTTTTTGATGCTGTCTTACTTGCTATATACGTATGACTTGGCTTTGCCTGTCATTGCTGCAGGAATAGGCAAGTATGTTCTTTTAACAATGTTTTCAGGATTCAGAGAATCGGTAGCAAGGGGTCTTGTAGCTGCTACTATAAGTAGTTGTGTTTAACTTCTGTTCCAAATATGTCATGTTAAAACCTCCTTGGGTGAGGTGCTTACAGCATCTGAAAGCTGCTCATCGGTGCTAAGTCCAACCAAAGGTGAATTTTTTCAGAAGTACCCCATCTGTAGACCCAAGGCTGGGGTAAAGATAGGTGTTGTGGAGAAGACTTCTATATTGCTTTTTTTTGCCTGGGAACAGGTGAAAACTTGCCAAAGAGTTACTGTGTATGCAGAACCTTTTGTGATACTTTATACAGTATAAAGTGCAGTCACAGTAGCCAGATATGAAGTGCCAGCCACCTTGTGCTTGTTGCTGATGCGACTGTTTCCCTTGAAGCATTGGCAGAACTTCAACACATTGAAGTGCTGAGAACAGAGCTGGCTGGGAAATGAAATTTCACATCAGAGGTCACGATTTTGGACATACTTAATTCTAAAGCAGATGAAGCCAGTATATTTGTGGGAAACAATTCTTGAAGACTTTAACATTAAATATCTTCTGAGTTCATGTGCTTTTTGAAAATCTGGACTCTGGCAGCACTTAACCAAGAAACCTGATCTTGGAAGTGTTGGGTATCAACCAGGTCATCTAAGCAGGCAGGCAACAACCTCAGGTCTGGTGCAGCACTGTAATGCGCACAGGCAAGCTAGCAAAGGTCTGGGAACCTACTACTCTACTGTAGTCTACTTCTACAATCAAGAGGTTAGGAAGACCAGTAGAAAATCAGCAGAAGCTGGAAGAATGTGCTTGCTGGGGAAGACGAGATTCTGCTGGTCTTTGAGTTAGTGGTATCTTGCCTCTGGGTGGTGCAGGTTAGATTCTGGTGAATTCAGAAGTTCATGTCTCATAGCTGCCTTGATCAAGGTGTTGCAACTGCTTACCTGTCTCATATTGTTCAGAATCCGCTCACGTGCTGTCATAGGTATTGGTGTAATCCTTTGCTGACTTTTGGATTAGAGCCTTTTTGAGTTTTGGGCCTCAAAACAGTATCTTAAGATACTATTAGTTTAGCTTAGAGGGATTTTTTAGTGATTAACATTTTTTTAAGTGTTTTGGGGTCAAAGTTCTTCAGAATTAGGGGTTTGCAGCTTGATAATACTACTGCATGTGTGTATTATTTTAAATTCCTCTGGAGAAAATGCAGTTCTCTATGGTTGTAGTTGTATTTACTGCCTATTGTGTTAGAGGTTCACAAGATGTGGTTTACAAACTCACTCTCAAAGTGGTACTTGTGCTGAGTGGAGGGACACTGTCCTGATATAGGTGGTAAGTGCCTCTGCTTTGTTAGTTATCACTTGGCTTCAAGTAGCGTACGGGTAGATCTGTGGGGATTAGCTAAGGGAAGGTGAACAAGTTGCCAGTAACACCAGAGTACATGCTCATACAGAACATTAGTGGGAATCCCAGCTGGTGCTGGGATCGTGTTTCTGTCTCAGGTCTTGGGAGCAAGTCAGATTAGAGGCACAGAGCTGGTGAGTGGTGTGGGCTTGAGGTACGTGAAAGGATGCGTTTCAGTCCCAGTTTGTGGGGTGGCAGCGTGTGGTGGGGTGAGGCGTTGGGCATGCAGCCAGCATCCTGGTTGGGAGGTTGAGTACGCGGCAGGAGGGTGGAAGTAAGGGAGGGGATAGAGTCTATGTTGTGGTGAGAGAGGGAGGGTAGTAGGAGAGTAAGGGAAAAAGAGGGACCTCTGTGCATGGGAAGCTCTGACAGCGGCTATTGCTGCCCAGGGTCCTGTAGCCAATTTGTTTTTATCTTTTTTTTCTTCTCTTTCTCTCTTATATATGTGTGTATGTGACATATTATATGACATCTTCAAGGCAGTCACTGTCAGCATTGCAGCTGGAAATGTGAAATTATTTTCCTGAGTGAATATCTGTTCTCAAGTGTTTCGTGGATTGAGGTGGCAAGGAGTTTGAAGTGGCACATGGCCAGCTGCTGTGTAGACTCGTTTTAAATGCTTCCCTAAGAAATTTGTTAACGTTAAGTGTTTCCTGGTTTCGACAAGTTAAGCATTGACTGTCAGTGCTTAAATCTAGAAAACTATAAAAACTTTTAGCTGGTTTGGTGTACACCTCCTGAAGTGGTGAGTCAGGATCATAAATGGTGTAATACAGTGTAATTGGTCAGTTAATTTCTGTGTCTTCTAGGATACCTTCAGTGGTAACTGATCTTTCTGAAGACGAGTGAGACAATGTACTTCAAAAACTTAGTCTTTATTATGGTTGAAATCTGGCCATCTAAATTATGAAAATAAATTGCTCTAAGTGAATGCTGCTTACAAAGAAAATGGAAAGCGTATTATAATATGCCATTCATGTCTACATAAGTCTTGCTAGTCAATCTGAAAGCAAATAAAGGTATTTGCAACAACAGAATCCTTGAAAAAGATCTTCTTTATTCTGGTAATTGAATCAGTGTATTAGAGAAAGTGGTTGATTCTGCTGGCTGATATTAATCAGTAAGTTTTGTGTGTGTGGTTTTGTTTTTTGTTTGTTTTTCAGATTTCTTAGGAATGAAAATAGTTGGTGAGCTGCTACGAAGGGCAGGTGCCTTTTTTATGCGACGTTCCTTTGGTGGGAACAGACTCTACTGGGCAGTGTTTGCTGAATATGTAAAAACGATGTTAAAGGTAAATAAATTACTGAACCCTCAAAATTTATGCTTAAGAAATACTCTGTTGGAATGATTCATGTGAAATATGCACGATGTTATAGCTATGTGATTGAAAGTCTTCACTGCAATCTGATTAAATGCCTTTTACCTCAGAATTGCTGTAGGTGAAGAGCGTGCATGCACTCTGTTGTTATAGTTCAGCAGTAGTGGTAAACAAATTGCTGCTCATCAGTTGCTTTGGATCATGTGCCCATATCTCATGACAGACACAATATTTTCGTTAATTTAACTATATGGTGTGGCAAATACAATGGATGAATATAGGCTTAGAGATGACTGAAGTTAGATATGCATGGCTTCCATTAAAAAAAACTTAATTACATTTTAAGTACTTAAAACTATTTGTGGGCAGTAAAGAAGAAATGTTGTTATTTTTCTAACCAGCTTTTTTTTTGTTTTGTTTTACTTTTGAAGAGTGGCTATGCCCCAATTGAATTTTTTCTTGAAGGGACTAGAAGCCGCACCGCCAAGACTCTGACTCCAAAGTTTGGTAGGTTTGTTGAAAACTTGGAACTTTTTATGATTATTAGTGTTTTCATTAGTGGCTATGTGCTTCGTAAGTTCTTCAGACAGGAAGGGATGTTAAAGTGGTAGGAAGTTGGTGAAGTCTGTCAGAGTAGTGGAAAACACTATGGTTAGAGTTGCAAGGCCATACAAAGAATGGCAATAACCCATCTCTTGCACTCTGCTGCTTTCTCTCCCTTTGCCCCATTGTGTACTTAATTGTAAAATTCTTCACCGTTTTCTTTCTAGAAAAAAGGCGTCCCCTTACCAGCAGAGCAATATTGTAAGCTAACTGTAAAAGTATTGGGGAATCTTTAGAAGGAAGATGCTGTGCGAGCGCAGAGCAGTGCTGCTGAAAAGAGCACAAATAGTTGTCCAAATGTATTGCTTACATTTACCTTCTGTTTTAAAGCTTGGGCAACATCTTGTGCTTCTGCCTGCTTGAAGAGAGAACAAGAACAGTGCACACATATTAGCAGTTTCTAAAATTTGAAGATACTTTTTTCAAAGTTAAATTGCAGTTGCTTTTCCCTCCTCGAAAAAGACAGGTGATTCACTTTTTTGTCTTTTTTTTTTTTCAATTTGCAGGTCTTCTCAGCATTGTGATGGAACCATTTTTTAAACGTGAAGTTTTTGACACATACCTTGTTCCCATCAGCATCAGCTACGAGAGGATATTAGAAGAATCTCTCTATGCATATGAACTCCTAGGAGTCCCAAAGCCCAAAGAATCTACATCTGTATGTAAATTCCTTAAGAACAGGGCATAGGTGGATGTATAACACCCTGTAGCACCAAAATTTGAGTTTTGCTCTTCCCATTTTCTTAGGGGTTGTTAAAAGCTAGAAGAATCCTCAGTGACAATTTTGGTACCGTACACATCTACATTGGCCAGCCAGTATCACTTAGAACCTTGGCATCTGGGAGAATCAATCGGTGCCCATACAATTTGGTTCCCAGGTACCACATCTTTCCACTGTGTATGCACAGGAAAAGCATTTGTTTAGTCCTCGCCTATGTGAAATAATTAAGATGTTCTCTTGTACTTTGTTTTCAACTTCTCTCATCTCCCCTCCATCTGACTATTTAGAATGCTGAACCTATTTTGTCTGAGCAGAGGCTTATCATGCTTGTGATTGGGTATTTCTGAAACAGGTTGTTACTTGCATAGCTTTGTACTGTGTCAGGAAGATGCCATTTTAAAAATTAATGATGATGCATGAGCCAGGCAAAGCTCTATTTTCTGAGAATTCGGTGATTTTGCCACTTAAAAATTCCGCCTTTCTCTCCCTTCTTGCTTTATTACTGCAAACTGTTATGTGATCATGTGCTAGGGAGCTGTAGCTATGACTGGATTGGGTGGCTGTTATGTAAAACATAATGCTCTTAAATTTTTTTTGAAGATAGCAAATGTAGAGCATCAATACAGAGATCTGTGTTTCAAATAGTATCGTGAAGCTACTGATGTTTTGCTCTGTACTTCCGTTCTACATAGCACATAGATAGAATCACGCTCCAGATGTTAGGTGCTATAAAGTAGTTACGGATCTGGGAGCAATAGGGAAGAAAAAAAAATAAGGAAGGGTGTGATACATATTCCAGTTTTTGGAGCTCTTTACCTTGAACTGCATTGTTCTCTTCAGGCATCTTCCCCACAAGCCATCTGAGGATATCCAGGAATTTGTCAGTGACGTAGCTTATAAAATGGAGCTCCTGCAAATAGAAAACATGGTTTTGAGCCCATGGGTGCTAGCTGCTGCTGTCCTGCTCCAGAATTTGCCAGCCATGGATTTTGAACTTCTAATAGAAAAGACCCTGTGGCTTAAAGGCTTAACACAGACTTTTGGAGGATTCATTGAATGGCCTGGTATGCAGAGAAAGTGTTATTTCTCTTCCTTCTGTTGTTTATGAAGTATAAATGATATTTCTGTGGAAGCAGTGTATGGTGACAACTTTACAGAATGTTTTCCCAAGAGTTGTAAATGGATTTTAGAATATGCTAAAAATGATGCTAAAACCTGATAGGTTTTGACTTAGCCTGTAGAAGATAATACTTTGAAAAACAGTTAGGTGGAAGCAGAACAGATGTTTTACTGTTATATCCTGAAGTGTGGAATGAGGGGGGAATTATAAGGTACTTGTATTAGAGTACTGAGATTTGCCTAGCGTCTATCTTTCTGAACCCTATGTAAGTCACAGGCAATTACCTGATCTGCAGCAGTTAACTTGGTGTAATGCTATGTTTATTGCTTGATATTGGCTATAGTATAAGTTGTTGCTGTGGCAAAGAATTAGCAGAAACAAATGGGTGAGAGGAAATCAAAACTATAAGTTGTCTGTTTATTTTCAAATTTCACTTTATGCCCAGAAACAGTGATGACTTTTGGATAGAAGGCTTCTTCGGTGGTTTTATTTATATGTTTATACACACACACACACTCTT